TCTTCAAAAACTGCAGAAGTCAGTGATGAAAACTTTCAATTTCCACTGTCAAATGTTCTCATCTTGCTTTGCCTCTATTTCTCACCCAGCAGTCAAATACAAGTAATGATACCTAATAACTAATTTATTTATACCTACATTGAAGACATGACAGTATACTCACATTCAAATGATCTTCACAACAGTAGAAGCAGCACTCTGATATGGGAAACTCTTGACCAGCAGCAAGCCACCACATCTTCCTTGTCTTCATTTCCCTCGGTACTGAGAGGAATATTCTTCCTGGTGCAACTCTGTCAGTACTCTTACACATTGGAACAAGGCACCAATGATGCCTTTAATTGAACATTAATTTTGTCAAAGGTGACTGTCAAGGTGTGTCAACTGGCTGACCCCTGTCCTCGGCTCCACAACAAGCTAGTGACCCCAAAGCCAATCACTGGGCGGTTTGCCGTCTTGTGTCCTTTGAGCAACTTTAACCCTTATTTTCTATACTTTCTGGCCTATTTTATTAGAAAATGTAATTACCATAGTGAAATTCAGCACATTTTTTTACTTGAAGTGCCGTTTTAGAAAAAAAAAATGGTGACCATCAACTCTTCCATAGTGAAATTGTTTGGCAGGTAAGTGTCTACACCCACAATAGCTGTGTGGACCAGGCATTATGAAGAGCCAACATGTTGGAGGCTGGAGGTGTTTATACAGTACAAATATTATTGATGTCTGAATATTGACTTCATGTCCAATAAATGATTTAAGGTCTATCAAAGTAAATATAATTTAATTTTTTGTTTCTTTGATTTTTCATTTTCAAATGGGCCAAAAACAAGTCTTCAAAAACTGCCTGGCAACCCAAGATGCACAATATGCTCATCAGCTTCCTGATATTAAGAAATTTCATTTAATACTACAGGTACTATACTCCCCAAAAAATTTAATGCATATATATTTAGACTTAAACCAAGCATCATATATTTGTTGTTTAATAATATGACCGACAGTCAAAATGAGAAAATTATAACAACACCAAAACATAAGTTCAAGTTAATAATTCAACAAGTACATAATGTTCCCAGGATATGCTGTCACTTGTTTTCCTTATACAGGTATATGTTTTCTTTACAGTAGAAGTCCAAAAATCCGGACTGCTTGGGAATTGGGTCGGTCCGGATTCTCAGGCAGTACAGTCAACCCTCACTTTACGCGGTCCCACATTCCGCATTTCCACGTTTACACGGTGCCCTGCCAGAACCCAGGATGCTCACATTCCGCGGTGGGTGTACTCCTTTACACGGGTGAAGTATAATTTTTTTATTTAGCTCATAAAATTCATACAAATTATCCGGCCAGAATATAATTTACATTGCTGGAATTCTTACAATATGATGATCATTTTGAATATAAACATCATAGACTTTGCATTAGACTTACAATTTTTAGATATAATGTTTACTCTTGAGTAAATATGTTATCTTTTGTGCAAAATATATGATATTTATATTCAAAATATTCCTGGTCTTACAAGGAATCCAGCAATGTCAATTATATTATCCTAACTTTAATCTGAGGTATTATTTAATACTAAATGTTAAAATCTAGTTTTTTCACCCACTCTTTCTCTTGAAGGGAGGGTTGGTGGGGGGTGGGGGGAGGGTTGGGACGGACTGACCATCTGGCTCGTTGGAAGAGGGGGGGAGGCAAGGTGGGGTACTGTGATTGACCGATAGTGTCGTGAAGAATATTTTTTTTTTTATTAACTGAAGATATTTGTTTTAGCTCATAAAATTCATACAAATTACCCGGCCAGAATATAATTTACATTGCTGGAATTCTTACAATTTGATGATCATTTTGAATGTAAACATCATAGATTTTGCATTAAACATACAAATTTTAGATATAATGTTTACTCTTGAGTAAATATGTTATCTTTTGTGCAAAATATATGACATTTATATTCAAAATATTCCTGGTCTTACAAGGAATCCAGCAATGTCAATTATATTATCCTAACTTTAGTTTGAGGTATTATTTATTACTATACCTGGTTTTCCCCCCAAAATTTCTCAGAGGGAAGAGCCAGCAGTGTAGTGTGAGAAGAGGGGGAGGGAGTCGTGTCCATTATTTGAATGGACATTAACTTGGCGACTGTATTTCTCTATTTCTCTTAAGTATTAATTGTGTGCATGTACCATCATAAAATTAAGATGTTATTTTTACTAGAACATAGGTATTGTGTTGGAAAAAGTGGAGTTTGGGGGTCAGCTGGTCTCTATTTCATTTAATCCCATATGTTATGTTATTCATTTTACGCGTTTCTCACTTTCCGCGGTACCCTGTGGGTTACATTAACCGCGTAAAGTGAGGGTTGACTGTACTTTTAAAATTCAAATTTAAGGAGGAATAAAGAAGAGATGAACAGGTACATTTTGATAGTTTATTCATTAGCAAATATAGCATGCTTCATTTATCAAAACGAGAAGCTTTAATGAAAAAGCTGTGAATTCTAGAATTTTATTCTTTGCCTTTTTTATATCATAAATTGTAGACTCTCCAATGTCGTATGTTTCCATTAGAACAGTATTGCCCACACCACGTTCTAGTTTCTTAATTATTTCAAGTTTGTCACTCAATTTCAACGTGTTCTTCTTTCTCTTCACACAACCTAAGTTTATCTACTTTAGGAGCCATTATTATGGGCTTGTACAGTACTCTGTAAATGGAAAGAGTAGGACTGAAAATATTGTTATATTACAATGGATTCTATTCATACTGTGCTTGATATAATGCATTCACGGAAATGTAATATTTTTGCTGAAATGACGTACGTATTACAGTGGAAAGTGGGTTAAAATCGTGACAAAAACAATGACTTTCGCTTTCTTTCGTTCAAAAGATGTTACCGTAATCGCTTTTCGAATGGTTTTCAGTTAAAAAACTGTTGTATTTCAATAATATTCTATCCTAATTGACTTGAATAAATACTACGATACCATATTTCTGAATATTTTCATTAAAATCCATCAAAATCATTTTCCTTGTCATCGTCTGCAGCACCAAACAGCTTCTCCCAGTCCTCTCCTTGAACAGGGATAGAGGGTACGTGTTTTTCGAATCGTTTTCAGTTAAAAAACTATTACATCACACGTATATTTTACCTAAACTGCGCCTGAATGAATATATTCTCGGAAATAAATAGTAGTTTTACTGAAACGTGATATATTTCAATGTAAAATAGGATAAAATACATGACGAAAACAAAAGACTTTACCTAAGCTTCCGATGTTCTTGAGATGTTACTCGTTTTTTTAATAGTTTTCGGTTAAAATTCTGTTATATTACAATGATATTCTATTCATACTGTGTTTGATATAATACATTCACGGAAATGTAATATTTTTGCTGAAATTACGTACGTATTACAGTGGAAAGTGGGATAAAATCGTGACGAAAACAATGACTTTCGCTTTCTTTCGTTCAATAATATTCCCTCCTAATTGACTTGAATAAATACTTGAATGGAAATATACAATATTTTTGTTAAAACTACCCGCGTTTCAGTGTAAAGAGTTGTAATAATAAATGGTAAACAATTTGCCTTCGGCACTCGTGTTTCAGGCACGGCGAGCCTCAGTTTATAGGACGTAGAGCGTTTTTACTGAAGGTTTTGTTGTTCCATTACCCTCAAAAACGTTGGTCGAACTACAAACGAGGTATATCATAAATTTACGATTTCTTGGTAAAAAAATCAGGGTCGACCGATAAACGAGGGGGGGTTATAGACGAGTATATACGGTATGTTGTCACAGTTTGATTGCTCGTTTTAAAGTGGCGACCACGTGGTCGCTTGTTGTCGCTGTGCAGCTGTGGCGCTCACGCATGCGCACATACACACAAAAGCCCGCTAAAAAAAAAAAAATTAGTTTTCGAAAAGTCTGGATTCTCGGGTGGTCCGGATTTCTGGCATCCGGATTGTTGGACTTTTACTGTAATTTACAGAAAACTAAACCATTTTAGTTCAACACCAAAGGCATAAAGGTAATTTATGGTCTAACTGTACGTGAAGGTATATGATATAAAGTAGAATTGCCAGAATGAAACCCAGACTGTATTCAAACTTGTATTTGTTGAAGTGCTTTTATTATACAGTGATCCCTCGGTTAACGAATTACCTTCCATAAGATTCTTCACTTCGGTTAACGAGCAAACCCTTGGTTAACGAATTCCTTACGAATTTTTCCCAACATGTTTTCGCCTGCATTTGGCAGCCCACCAGCTGTAGTATTAGTCCGCCAATACAGTAATCGGTTTTAGGGCTTAAATTCCTTACCATTTTAGTAAATATCAAGAAGGTTGTACTATTCAATAATTTTAAAAGTTTCATATTAAATTTTTTAGTCATTTTAACAATTATTGAACATAATTGAAGAACAGGAAACGAGTTTTTTGCGCGCCAAACAGCCACTCAACACACCAGGCTTGGCATCAGTTTGTTTACCAGTTCAGAGGAAGGAACATTTTGTTTGAGACTCTTCAACATAAAAGCTTTTTTTCTGTGCTTCCAGTCAAATTATTGGTCATTTTGAAATATATTTTACATATTGATAATATATAGCGCAGTGCAGTGTTGATTTAAAGAAAATAATCTTGAATTACACCAAGTAAGCTAAAATTTTATGGGTGAAATGGCAGCATGGGGTGACTTCTCTTCCACCCCAATGCCTTCTCTTCTCCCTTCTCCTCCACCCCCATTCTAATTCCCATTATCATCATCAACCAGGAGCCTTCTACATGCACACCTCAAAGTAAGCGTACTTTACTACATTTGTTTTTAGTTTGTATGTAATTTTCGGTGAGCTGGAAGCAATTACCCAAAAACCCATTGAAACAATGGTTTCGGTTACCAAATTTTTTTGGTTAACGAGCAACCTTCTGGAACGAGCTGTGCTGGTTAACTGAGGGACCACTGTACATGCTAAGGGTAAAAAGTTGGTTTTCAGTATATATCAAATATTTATTTATATTCTACATACACCAGGTTGCATTACACACAATATGTTAACAAGGTTTCAGAATTCTTCTTCAACAAAATCAAATTCCTCCTTAAGGTTCTCTAGTTTTATAGAAGAGGGAGGAACCATCTCAAATTTAAGTGGATCTTCTGATATACTTAAGATAGAAGGTTGACCATCAACAGGTTCCTCTTTCACTCCCTCCCCTGAGCAGTCTATGAAATGAGTTGACCTGCTCACTACAAGGTCATTATCTGCTAGTTTACACACAGCCTTTGTCTTACACTGGTAAGAGAGGCTATACTCATCTTTGCTATGACAGGGTGTAAGCAGTTCCTGGTAATTATTGTGGCTCAGCTCTAGACTGTTCATGTTATTACCAGGTTGTTTTTCTGCTGTGTTACTCCCAATAGCACCACAGTGGTGGTCTCTCTGAGTGAGTCTTGTCCCACTCCTTGACTTCTTCTCACCACATTTTTCCAACCTTTGTTTATTGTCATATTTTTTGTGGTTTTTAACCTTATTATCTTTTGCATGATCTTTACTGCAAGAAGTCAGATGTGTTCTACTATGCCTTGTGAGACGCACTTTACTGGGAAAATATTTTTGACAATCACAACACTGATAAGTTTCTTTTGTATGAACTCTCATGTGCCTTACCCTTTCGTTCTTCTGTGTGAAGGATTCATTACACTTTGTACATTGATATGGTTTCTCCCCTGTGTGAACCCTCATATGTTGTACTAAATCAGATTTCCAAGAAAATGAACTATTACACTCAGAACACTGGAACTTCTCTCCTGTGTGAACCCTCATATGTTGTACTAATCTAGATTTCTGAATAAATGACCGATTACATTCAGAACACTGGAACTTCTCTCCTGTGTGAATCCTCATATGTTGCACTAAATTTGATTTCTGAGTATATGAACTACTACATTCTGAACACTGGAACTTCTCTCCTGTGTGAATCCTCATATGTTGCATTAAACTCACTTTCTGAGTAAAAGAACTTTTACATTCTGAACACTCAAACTTCTCTCCTGTGTGAATCCTCATATGTTTTACCAAGTGGTATCTTTGAGAAAATAAACTATTACACTCGGAACACTGGAACTTCTCTCCTGCGTGAACCCTCATATGTTGCACTAAATCAGATTTCCAAGAAAATGAACTTTTACATTCTGAACACTGGAACTTCTCTCCTGTGTGAACCCTCATATGTTGTACTAGTCTAGATTTCTGAATAAATGACCGATTACATTCTGAACACTGGAATGTTTCTCCAGAGTGAATCCTCATATGTTGTACTAAATTAGATTTCTGAGTAAATGTACTACTACATTCCAAACATTGGAACTTCTCTCCTGTGTGAATCCTCATATGTTGTACTAAATTAGATTTCTGAGTAAATGAACTACTACATTCAGAACACTGGAACTTCTCTCCTGTGTGAACCCTCATATGTCGTACTAAATGATACCTTTGAGTAAATGAACTATTACATTCTGAACACTGGAACTTCTCTCCTGCATGAATCCTCATATGTTGTACTAAATTCGATTTCCTAGTATATGAACTATTACATTCTGAACACTGGAACCTCTCTCCTGTGTGACTTCTCATATGTTTTAATAAATTAGATTCCGTAGTAAATGAACTATTACATACAGAACAATTAAATGGCTTTTCTCCAGCATTAAAAGGTGTGTCTGATGGGTGATCTCCCACATACTTTCCACAAGAGTCCCTTTTAAAATCTTCATGACACTGTGAACCCTGAAGGGGGTCTTCAGTGTCACATTCCATATTCATTGTTTCTTTTCCCAAAATATCTTGGACTTGTGATTTCTCACATAGTCCTCTTGTACTTTTGATATCCTTGGCCTCACTGAACTCCTTAAATAAGTGAAAAAGCTTTCCTATGATAATTTATACTCTACCCAGTGTTTGATATTCTGCTTTAACACACACATACACATGAATATGAAAACCAACCGGCTAACCCATAAGTGTGTGGAATATGGCCACAAAACACTGGAGTCTTTGTCATTTTCCCTTCTTATATCAAACTGAAACAAATGTTTTAATTTAATTAAAATGTTGACCTGAGTTAACTGGGAAAACAGATATAAATAAAACAGTTGCACAAACTGTGAGTTAAGTATTATTTGGTGACTTGTCTATTAAAGTTGTACAGTATTTTGTGACATCACTAATGTTCATTCACCTTTACTTCACTGCCCTAAAATCTTTATAAAGAATAAATTATGGTTCTGGCACTGGGATGAGCAAAATAGCACAACACTGTTCACCTTCCTGGATGCTGATGGTGATACTTGGTACTAGTGACACGAAGGAGACTGTAGAAAAGGTGACTTGATACTTTCACTCTTGTGCCGACACCGCTGGACCCGGCATGTTGGCTGAGGTTGTCAGCAGAGTTCAGAAGGTGATAGCTGCACCAGAGAAGAGAAATACTCTCTACAAAACCTGAAAGTGGAAAAAATCGTAAAATATATAAGACCTGACTCACACAATGAATCATCTACCTTTACTTTGTCTTGATCACTTGGACCCCGACTCATAAACTATCTGTTCAGTCTTGTAATATTGGATTCACCTTCTCTATTTTCAACGTGGAAGAATAATTAAGATATTAGCAAGACACTCAATGAGCGAGGGCAGAGTTTTTGGTCCAACTGTAATAGAAACAATACAAGTCTCAGTCTGCTCCACTACTGCTACGCTCCCTTCCTTTAAATCATCTCTAAAAAAATATCTATTGTCGAAGTATTAATACTTCTTGTAACACTTACTATATTTACAGTACCTGCTTTTATTGTACTATGAAAACCGTTTTATCGGAAGTTATCATGTAAATAAATAAGTAATTACCATTGCAATAAACATAATTGCCAACTAGACATGATGAAAATATAGTATGAAAATAAACATCAAAACAATTAGCACGTCCGCACATTAATCGTCAATACCTGTACAGGTATTAAACCAGATCATGAGTCATAACATATTTTTCCTTTTTTTATATATCAGACAAGCACGGCTCAAGGTTTGTCTACTGTAAAGTTGAGGTGCTGCTATTATACCCCACCACTGCACGTTTCAGACAGGTCACTGGACTGCAGAGATTGCAGCTCAAAATTCAGTGTAGCAGGGGCATTAAATGCGTAAAAAGGATGTTCAGTTGCTAACTTGCTATGATTGTTCTTTTAAGTTTAGGTGTATTATTCTTAGGAAAATAGTTTCGATATATAATGAAGATAACATTCTAACGGGATCTTTTTATAAAAAATTTATAAAATTGTTTGTTTAATTCTGGTATAAAAGTAGAAGTATCATACATCTGGTAGTTTTGTAGGCTGCAGCCCTGATGAACAAGCCGGCACTGGTGGTAAGAGACACCACGTCCTCGTGCAAGTTGCATCACTCTATCTTTCTATATCTCTTACTTAAGATAAGTTTCTTATACACTTGGGGTTAGGTTTTCAAGTTTTTTGTTTTGTTAACCTACTTTTTCATTATTTTAACAACAGCTCATTTCCTATAGCACTGAAGGTCATATTTGTATTTAACAATGATTTACACTGTAAAAATCCATTTTTAAAAGTCAATTAGGTGTTGGCAACTACTAAATATTTACTTTTATTTTTTTACTTTTATCCTCTTCACCACTGACCGGCTTACTAGCCGCTTGGGTGATCCCAGAATGCAACGACGAACAAGAACCAGGCCAATAAGGTAAGAAATAGGCGATTCCATCATATGGTGAGAGTAAGTTAAGTTAGGTTAGGTTAGTTTTTTGTTTTTCTAGTGTTTTTTGTGTATTTTTTAGTCGCTTAGCCACTTTTTTTTCGGAAAACGTCAAATGAAAAAAAATCGCTAAAAAACCCGGCTAATTTCCGGCAAAAATGAAGGTCATATTCGGTCTAAACACACACAAATACACTAGAAAAATATATTTTTTACTTGCTAAAAGTGAACGGTGTGACAATGCAAATTTACCGAAACGCTATATGTACAGTATGTGTTGTCAATAGTAAGAGAAACAATCGAGACACTGCAATTGAGTGTAAATGGGGCAGAAAGACAGATCAGCAACCTGGGACGGTCCGACTAATTACCCAAATGTAGCAAAATGTAGATGCAATGAAGTCAAATAATGGTCCTAGATGAATAAATCGGACTGCCAATCACTTCTCGACTAGTATTTGGTGTCACAAAAAATTGGAAAACTTACTTTAATCTGAGTTAATAGATCGCGTGCATGTACCGAGGGAGCGAAGAAGTACCCAAATGTAGCCGCAATGAAGTCAAATGATGGTCGTACAAGCGTAATTCGGGCTGTGAGTCACTTCTCGATTATTATTTAGTGTCATAAAGTCAAAAAATTTGGTAAACTTAATTTAATCCGAGTTGTGTTAGGTTAGGTTAGGTTAGGTATATGCACTTGATCTATTAACTCAGATTAAATTAAGTTTACCAATTTTTTGTGACTTCGTGACACCAAATACTAGTCGAGGTTAGGTTAGGTTAGGTACATGCACTCGATCTATTAACTCAGATTAAATTAAGTTTACCAATTTTTTGTGACACCAAATACTAGTCGAGAAGTGATTGGCAGTCCGATTTATTCATCTAGGACCATTATTTGACTTCATTCCGGCTATATTTGGGTACATTTGGGAAATTAGTCGGCAGCAGGGTCTACCATTAGACAATACATTATGCTTCCAATATATTCCCAGGCGGTAGTACCTCCCTGCTACCTACTACCCGTTTAGTAGCATATATTTTAAAAATATCCGTTTTTTAACATATTTCCACAAACTACAAGTGTCCACTATAACATTGAAAATCCGGCGTTGTTATAATTGTTTTCAGTCACTTTTGCTCGCGGGTTAGTCCTAAATAACTACCAAAATTCGTTCTAAACTCGCCAAAAACCACAGGAAAAATTATGTTTTTAACATCAAAAGAATGGACGGTCTTTTTTTTGTTTTGTTTTTAATTTACCAACACTGGAGAAGGTTACGGTACATTCAGCAGCCAGTTCGTGACCAGTTTTTGCCAACAGTGCCAACCCAAGCGTCTAACGAGCCATCAGTGGTGAACAGAATAAAAGGAAAAGTAAAAGTGTGTCCTGGGTCAGGACTCCTACAACTTGTAATAATCACCCATTACTTCTACAGCACTTGTAATAATCAACCACTACTCCTAGAAGCGTTATAATAATCATTAGACTTCCCCCATACCTTACCAGTTGTGTCCGTTATGTCTTGCTTCTAAAATAATTTATTAAAACACGTCTTCCCAGCTGTATCGTTTTTCACAGCATCACAGACTCTGGCTCACTGCCCACTATCAGCTGCCGGCTAGCAGAGAGCAGCAGTGTTACCAAATGAGCAGAGTTGGCGGAGATCACGCTCTCATTTTTCTGATAGCCTTCAGTTGGTGCAAGTCCTTTCAAAAAAATGGCAACAATTGCCTTATATGTGATTAATGGCAGGAGTGGGGCGAAGGAAAAGATGGCAACAATTGTTGCCATTTTTCTTTTTCGCCACTCTGCTGCTGTTAATCTTTCGTGAGGCGATTGTTGCCATTTTTCGTTTCCCGTGGGTTGGGGAAGTACCGTGGGTTGGGGGACTTACCGTGGGTTGGGGAAGTACCGTGAGTTGGGGGAGTGCCGTAGGTTAGGAGAGTACCGTGGGTTGGGGAGTACCGTGGGTTGGGAAGTACCGTGGGTTAGGAGAGTACCATGGGTTAGGGAAGTATCGTGGGTTGGGGATTACCGTGTGTTGGGGGTACCGTAGGTTATGGAAGTACCGTGGGTTATAGGAGTACCTTTGGTTGGGGAATACCATGGGTAGGGGTAGTACCGTAGGTTGGGGAGTACCGTGGGTTGGGGAGTACCGTGGTTTGAAGGAGTACCGTGTGTAGTGATGGGTTGTCAGACCACAGCTTGCATCTCAGAGACAGTCCAGACTTGACCCGACATTAGGGAGGTCAAGTGTAGGGTAACTCTCACTGTTGACCAAGGGTTATAAATCAGCCAGGCTCCCCCCCCATGTCACACGGCCCCAACAAACATGTAAGAAGGCACCGGCCGACTCTCTCCCAATATATACAATGACCTGCACCACAGAAGAAGTCCAGACCTGACCTCACATTAGCCAGGTCAAATGTAAGGAGACCCTTCGCCGCCCCCCCCCGATCAGCTCAACCTGACGGCTCGCCTCCCAATATATAGGACGTCCTAGTCCTCCCTCCCACCAGAGAGAGAGACAGAGAGAGAGAGTGTGTCTTGTAAGGAGGAAGGGCCAGCTACTACACCACCAGGCCCGCTCGAGAGGAGTCAGAGAGGACCGGAGGCAGTCGCCTCCGGTCAGGACCGAGACTTCCCTCCGGCGCCCAGCTAAGCAGTCTCCCATAGAGACAACCCAGGACCACCTGCTAGGCCTCCCCTAGGTCACGTGAGTGTTTGTCAGAGCTTTCCATGGGATGAGTTACTTACGTGGGAAGTGTATTCATTTCATGTTCGTGTCCGAGAATCAGAGTGTCTAGTAACGTAATATGATGTCCTAGTAACGTAAATATAATGTCCTAGTAACTTCAATAGAAGGTGTTATTAATGTGTCCATGTCATTGTCGTAATTAATAAAGAGTTGTAACGAAGCGGTGTTTGAGAAGTCGCCTTTAAGACGTAATAGATGTGTATTGACGTATAAGATACGATAAGTGTATTGACAGTGTGAATATCTATCACGGCCACGCTACCAAAATCTTCCTCTCTCTTTTACTCTCTTACTAAATATTCTTCCTATATATATATATAAATATTCTTCTTGCAAGATTCGTTTTGTTATACGTGGGTTGGGGGAGTACCATGGGTTGGGGAGTACCGTGGGTTGGGGAGTAAAATGGTTTGAAGGAGTACAATGGGTTGAGGAGTACCGTGGGTTGGGGAGTACCATGGGTTGAGAGTACCGTGGGTCGGGGAGAGTACTGTGGGTCGGGGGTACCGTGGGTTGAGGAGTAACGTGGGTTAGGGGAGTACCATGGGTTGGGGGAAGTGCCGTGGGTCGGGGGAGAGTACTGTGGGTCGGGGGAATACTGTGGGTCCGGGGAGTACCGTGGGTCGGGGAGAGTACTGTGGGTCGGGGGAGTACTGTGGGTTGTGGGAGTACCGTGGGAAGGGGGAGTACCGTGAGTAGGGGGAGCACCGTGGGTTGGGGGGGTACCGTGGGTTGTGGGAGTACCGTGGGTTTGTGGAGGACTGTGGATTGGCGAGTGCCGAGGGTTGGGTTAGGTTATGTTAGGTGAAATATGTTGGAGGCAAATAGTGTGTGTGTGTGTGTAATAATAATAATAATAATAATAATAATAATAATAATAAACGGTTTATTAATAGAGTTGCATCGGTGGCTGAAAATATACAGACTTACATTTGATTTACTTAATGATATAATATGCATTGAATACATTTACAGGGCTGTACAGCACATAAATCAGGAGTTGCTTATTATTTTAACAACAGATGGGATGGTGCTGTTCTTATATCTATCGGTGCGGGCTCTTATGGGCTGAATTTTGTTGTAGTGGCGGACTGAGCGAGGTGGGTGGGGGGCTGCCGGTGGCAGGAGGTGGCGGTGACAAGGGTGGTGTATTAGTTGGCTGCCAGACCCTTCCAGTGCTTGGTGGTGGAGGTCACTGAGGGATGGCATTTCCAGGGTGGAGAGAGCGTTGGTGTGTGTTTGTGTATGTATGTGTGTGTGTGTGTCGTCCACATTCGTTGCACATGTGGAGGGCTCCATCTACTGTGGGAGGGGCGGTGGCAGCGTCTTTCCGACGTTGGAGCTTCTCTGCCTCGGTTTGCAGTCGGGCTAACTCGAAAGTATTGACACCTTCCCGTGTGGGCGACGCTGCCGGTCCAGTATCGGGCTCTTTAGTCACCAACCTAGGTGACAACCCTAATAACCCATATCATTGTACCATAGCTAGATGATTGTCATACTCGATTCCGAATGACAGCAAAGTAGTAGTAGTAATAGTAGTGTGTGTGTGTGTGTGGTTTTTTTTTTTTTTGTGTGTGTGTGTGTGTGAGTGAGGACTGCACCAGCTGCTCCACCGTCCCCTGATAACAAGACGGTGGTGACTTATTGAACCTTCCCTTACTTCTTCTCATAGTAACTGTCATAACTATTACTCTCCTTCCCTCCCTGACCCTAACCTAACCTAACCTAACTACACGCATGGTAATTAAACTATGATCAAGTGTCTGACATTTTCTCTCTAATACTTAGCGAGTGATGTATGGAAATTATCTTTTTGCCTAACAGGTCTCTTGACATCTGATCCATAGCCCTATGCCCTGGCTTTGTAAACAGTAAGGACCAGGACCCTCAATCCTACACTCTCTCTCGCCTCCGAAACATGCGAAGCTTCTGAACCTCATATACATATCAACTTCATATTTTTATTAACGTTCACAGCTCATAGCGTTAATTACGGTGATATCATAACTATTTGTGCACTAGTTTATATTCTTAATAATTGGAGAAAAGACCATTTAGGTTTGATATTTTAACCCATATGCATTTATTTACGCTACTTCCAAGGAACCTGCAAGACTCACGTTAAAGAACATTCAACAGTGATTGCAAGAGGAAGGATTCACTAATCTTACTGCAATCAAACCATTTTATTTCGTTAAAACAAAAACAAAACAAAAATCCTCCTCTCCACCTCTCAGTGAATATTGGTATAAAATTATAAATTATAACAAATATAACAAGAAATATAACACGATAAATAAACTAAACAAATCACATCTTTCCTCTGTGGTTTTCAGCGCCGTTATCAGCGTGAGTTACGACCCCTATCTAGAATTTGAGTTACCTGGGTGGAATTAATGTTGAATTATCGCCATAAATCTGTTTATATTTTCGTGTTAGTGTAGATCCACGATGCTGAGTATAGATTTATTTCTCGCTTGATAATTGGAGTGAGATGGTTAGCGCTTCACAAATCATTTCTTTATAAGCGAGGATTATCACTCAGTTATGTTAATGCCATAGAGTTCTTCACTTATTAATTTTCATCCCATTAGTTGATGAAATAAAATAAAAGAGTTAATATAAATGACAAATTAAATTGATAATGAAGTTGTAATCATAACATCGCCCTTGTTGTGATGATAATTAACGACATACTGAAGTTGTAATCATAAGAAAGCGAAACAAAAATGGTGAATTCATTAGCCCTTGTGTACGGGATCCCCTCTGTGCTGATAAAAAATCGTCTGACATTATCCGAATAAAATCGTCTGGCGTTATCCAAATATCCTAAGTGATGTCCCATAGTGAAGGTGTTAAAATATCCATATGGTTGTAAGTCCTAGTGAGCTGGATTGAGGCCGTGAAACAACAAAACTACACTCGTCCTAACAGATGCGGCCAAGCCAACACACATGACGGGTGATGCTGATGTAACTAAAGAGATATAAGACATGAATCAACTTAACTCATCATTATTCTAGTACAGGACCTTCCTACCACACCAATCACCACTATTACCACTACCCATCATCACCATCACCACCACCAGCAGCACCACCTCCCAACACGACCTAACATCACAACTTACCATCACCATCACCATCACCATCATCCACCATCACAAGTAACATCACCACCATCATCCCCACCAACCATCACCATCACCACTAGTACCAACACTCACTACCACCACCACCACCACCACCACTACCA